AACAAGAAAAGCGAAGAAAATCTTCGCAGAAGAGGAATAGACCTTAAGGCCGACTGAAGCGGAAATCCTACCAGCGCGGCGGTCAGAGGAAACCTTGTGGGATTGTTGTGCCCCTCCCTTAGTCATGCGTAGTGGGGCCGGCATGTGACTGGGGAGTGGGCGTGAAAATCCCTTTAGCTTTTTAAGAGGAACTGATCGAGGTCGGCGCAGGCGCACTATATCCCAGAGGTGTGATGCACAGAGACCACGAAGAAGATTAAAAAGTTCAGTTGAGAGATTCTGAATTCTTCTTCCAAACACCAATGAAAACTAGAAATCATATGGGAAGAAGACATTTTCTCGAATCTGGTTACATGTGACTTGAGACTTCTGATGTCACCCTAGTGCTATAAGTGAAACTGGTAGGGAAATGTGGTACAGCCAGCACTGCTGCTCCAATCACAGTCAAAGCCCCAGTAAGGTAAAATGAAAATGCTGGAAAGCTCTGATCTCAGCATCTCATGTAGTCTCAGACAGCATTCCCAAGAGAACAAAGAAAATATGGGCTACATTTCCTTACTACTACCCTGAACCTTCTTATTCTTTTCCTTCTGTGTTTTCTACCTTTGTCTCTTTTTCTCTTTGCTTGTTTGCCTTCTCTCTCTGCTGAAAATTAATACTAATGCCACCCTTCGTCCATTGCATATATTCATCATAGCCAGGGCTTTTTTCCCTGGGGGAATGCACCGGAACAAAGTTCCAGAACCTCTTCAACAAAATTATTTTAAACATGTTTAAAGTTCATGAGTTTTCAGTATACAGATTGAAAACTTCACTTCCCTCTTGAGAGTTCCGGCACTTCTTTTTTAAAAACCTCTTAAAAAAATAATCCCTGATCATAGCTATCATTTTAATTTATGTTGCAAGCTGGACCTAGCTCTTTTGTAATACTGTCTCCTCACTTCTCCCTTCGGTCATACGGCATCTAATTTACTGTGCTATGTAGGAGTTCAATTGTTCAAATTCAGTGTTTACTTTTAGAAAACAAACAAAAACCTTGCAATTCTGGAATGAAAGATTGTATATTGACAGAAATTGTGTGAAGAACCAGGTGGCAAGGGAAAGAAGTGGAATATAGTGAAATGGAAACAACAAATGCTTGTCTGAATAATTCCCTTGGAGGTGCTTCAAACATTAGCAATAATGTTCTGGCATACTGTGTGTACCCAAGTGTACCCCTGTTAACACATGGTTCTACAGATTCTTTGGCAACTGTGTGTGAACTGTGCTTAAAGGGAGGGACAATTAATCTACAATTCAATATAAATAAGGTTAAAAAATGTTCTCACATTATGAAAAAAATTGCAAGTACAAGTAGTAATTCACATGGTGTACCCACCAATTTTTTAAAAAATAACAAAGAGGCAGTTAGTTTTCAACTTGTATTGCTCTAAAGCAAACAGCATAAAGTATACAAGTGACAAAGAACTGACATCTGCACTCTGAAAATGCTGCTGGTAGGGATGACTTAAATAGAATTTTTAACCCTACTGTTTTGACCCTGTTTCTCATCCCCCTTTTTTGTTATCGCTTCTACTCTGTGTAAATTAAGCCTGATTATTTTCATGCAATTTTTTGATTCCGTACACCACTGATCAACATTATATATATATAATTATACAACATATGTATACTACACAAATAAACAGCAAAAAGCAGAAAACTAAAACAGTAGTTACAAATAACTGTAGAAAGAAATTAAGTAGTGGACATTCATTTATCCATACAAGCTAAATTCTCATTGATCACTGCTATTTTTGAATGGATAAAATTTGGAAGGATAAAACAGGGAAAACTACACAGATGAGTAGGTATGAGCAAATATTATGGCAGCAACATTTATATACTTCTCCCTGCTGAAAACACTTCACACACATTATTTAAATAATCCATAAAACAATCTTGCAGATGGCTGAGATAAAGGCAAAACCTGGTTCATTAAAGCAAATGGGGCACTGAACCATGAACTTGGTCTGCTCCCCAGGCCCCACCTACCTGCCTCTGAACCAGTGGTTCCTAATCTTTTTGACTATGAGGACCCCTTTTAATCAGTTTTGGACTCTGACATGATAGGAGACAGTTAGCATCTATTGACTGAGGAAACACATAATGACAAAAACTTACTATGAATTCAGTAATACTTAAAAGAATCTGCATTTTATTAATTACAAAACCATTTATATACATTTGAAAAATAGTAATACATATATTTGCAATATATGTTATTTGTTCAGTCTACAAAAGGTATGTTTGCTTATTTATTACACAAAGTCATTTTATGAGAGGGCTGGTCAGCCATCAGAGACTGGAAGTCAGGATGAAGAGCAGAAAGTACAGACCAATGACTTGACACAGGAGAAGCAAGCTTCCTATATTTGTTTAGTATGGAGTTACTGGTGTAACTGCCTAGAATGACCCTGTTTGCTAACCCAGTAAGCAGTCTGTCTGTACTTGGGTATTCCCTCAGATGCCCAATGAGCTTTCAAGTCCTTGACAAAATATTAATTGGTGGATGATTATTAATTTTGATTTTAACCCTGCTTTTCAGTAGTAAGTTGTTTCCCAAAGGAGCTCACAAATAACCAAATCCACAAATAATGAATAAAATGCAATATGAAATGTTCTTTGTGGAAAGAATCCTCAATTGTGCTGGATGCAGGCATGATGAAGGGACGTCTGGCTGCCCCCCACCCCTGGCCTTAGTGATGGCATGAGTTGGAGGAAGGGGGAACCTCATCTTCAGAATATGCTGTCAGATCTCTGGGGACATGTATTAAGTTTCAGGTCTTTTCCAGAGCTGATAACACAAAGATTACTAATATAGGTGAAAAAATAAATGAGAAGTCCAGTGGCACCTTAAGCATTAAACATTTATCCAAACATAACATTTCTTGGAATCAGAACTCATTTCAGATGCATGAATTGGTTGGGGCAGCCCCTCCTTTCCTACACTTATCAGGCTACCCTGGAGTAGTCAGGACAGAGATACAGCATTCCAGTGAAGCTCCTGGACCCTGCTGGCTGCCTGATGCAACTCTGGGACCTCCCGGGTTTGGCAGGGATGTGGAAGGGGGGCAGGATATCCAACTGATGGGCTCCTTAAAGGGCCATAGCCCATGCCTCTACAAAAGGAATGGGCATTTCCAGCTGTCCTCGGAGACTAGAAAGGATGAGCGACAGGGGCAAACATGCCCCACCCACACAAACCTCTCATGAAGAGTTGTTCTCCTTGTGAGGAGGTAAGCAGCTCTGACTGGGCTGGTACACACTTGGGGTTCTCTGTATGAGGATGGTCCAATGCTGTCTGCCTGGGTAGGGGCTCAGAGCCAGCTGACACAGTTGGTGAAGTATGGCTGTGCCATGGCAAGCAGCTGGCAGATGAAGCTCAGTTTGCAGCCAGTTCAACACAAGAGTTGAGGGAGCATGGCCACCATGGAGTCAAGCACAGGGGGACAGTGGTGTGGGAAGGTGAAAACCTGCCCATGCTGGATGGATTTGCAGACCCCTTACAATAACTCCACAGCCCCCAGGAGAACCTGCCCCAAAGATTGAGAACCACTGCTCTAAACTGTCCTTACCAGGCAGCATGGGGGTAGCAGGCTTCCTGCCTCTTTAATTTTAAAGTCCACTGCACTGTTTTGCTGCCATTAAAAAGATGAACTAAAAGTCACACATTCAGTTCAACCCAAGAAATCAACAACTGCCCACTGATGAACTTATTTGTTATGTTAAAACTATTAATTCAAGGTTGTATGTGTGCAGACAATACATCTTCAAACCCATGGGAGGAGGGGAGGCTGGTAAGAGAGAGAAAGCAGCCTGTATTTTGACACAGGTAATAGCTTCATGTTGTCCAAATTAGAACGAGAAATTATGTTGATAAACAAAAGGAATTTTGTACGTTTTTGAACAGGAAAGATGACACTACAGTCACACAAGATGTCCATTTCTTCTATCAAGACTGACAAACCAGGAAAACATCGAAACATTTAATTCAAAAAGAAATGCTTCCAGAAACTTAGCTAGACTTATTGGAAATATTTTCTCTTAAAGAATACAGAAAGTTGAAGTGTTAATTTTACTCTAGTCTAGTATACTAACTGTCATGATGGGGTGAAATGTGACAATTAGTGGAAAATGTTAACACCAAAAGGATTGATAGTGGTAAAACAAAACCATTAAGTACTCCCTTGGTTACAAAATGGCTTATCAAGATGTAGCACAGAGCAAGATTTGGTAAAGCAAACAAAACATACACTTATATCAGCCAAATTTTGAGGAAAGATTATTTTTATGCAAAAGTGAGGGGCCTACTTATAAAATACTAGACGGTAAAGCATAATTTGAGAAATTTGGAGATGTATCTGATGTAAGATGTCAGTTTCAGTGGAAGTGGTTTTCGAAGGTTTATAGTTTTGCCCTGTTTTTTCAAAAATTGCTTTCTGACAAACATATCAATTTATATTAATTCATTAAAACAGATTAAATGAAGTGTACACTGACACGTACTTGACCTTAATATACCTACACAGTCAAATGTTTAGATTCAGCTTCTAATGCATAAATGTAGCCTGATTCTGAATACACACTTTGCAATGAGGCAACAAAAACACTTTAATGGGATGAGGCTGTCTCATCTCCAAACTATTTTATTTTGCCAACCAAAACAGGGCGGTCTGTATTATAAGGGCATGCTTTTCAATTAGGAACAACAACAACAAAAAGAGATACCTAATCCACCTACATGGGTAGGACACAATGACAAAATCAAACTTAGATATAACAACCATCAGATATAATGTAAAACAATGCTTTCATAATGATTGAGACATTAACTCACACTACTCTAAAAAGCAATGAAAACATTATGGATTAAATGGAAATGAAATTGCCAAATAGTTAACAAAAATCCATATAAATGTAAATTTGTTGATAGATTAATAATATTTTATTGGAAATACCTGAGGAGGTAGGGTCTTCAGAGAAGTCTGGCAGTTCTTCAGGGGGATCACCATAGAAAGAATTGAATTTGTGGCTTGATACTGCTGCTAGTACTGCACCCTGAATAAATGAATATCTCTGATCACAAAATGCTATCACTCTAGAATCCCAGTTTACCATTATTGTAAAGGCAGAGCAAAATCTGAGAAATCCAGAATTACTCATAGGTAAAACACTGTTAATGTATAACTAGAGGTATTTGTGTGGCCATCTGTGAGTCAGGAACATTCTAAAATTTTAGCCAAGGAGCTGGTACTCAATCCTCCTCTCCTTGAGAGGAAACTTGAATGCGTAATTTGCTCTTTACAATATAATATTTGTCAGAAACTGAGACGCACCTGCAAGGTGGAAGGACAGTAGGCTATGTAACTGTATAGACCACACTTATAGGTAAAAATCTTGTTTTTCCTCTAATGAATTCGCAATCCCACAGATGTTAACTAATGTATTTGGAGAAAGGCACTAAAAACTTCAAAGAAACATGTGTAGGATTGAATTAAAGGAGAAACTGGTTTTCAGTAGTGGATGTATAAACAAGTTTCAGTATCTGGAGAAGCCTGGGGTTGGTTGTGACCCATCAGTAGGTAAACCCTGGGTATCTTGTGCAGCACTCTGGCAATTTGGATAGACTCCCCAGCACATCTTCATGAATGCATTACCAACCCGGGAGCCTGACTTCTCCTGCTGCAAACCAGGGTTCACTTGGTGTTGACTGATTTTATACACAGGACAGTACAAGGATGACATCATAATCCAAAGACATAAAATAGAATTTGGGAGTTCAGTAACCATTTGTGGGACACCTCAGCCATTCTGTTAAGAGTGTCTGTACCCATAGCAAAGGCCAACAGAGTATTAGGAAAATGTGATTTAGGCACCAGAAAGAGAGAGAGTTAGAAGAGGTGTTTCCTTGTTTGTTAATTTAAAATTTATGGCCCTATTGTCTGCAACAATCTTGCCCAGAATAATGAGGAAGGATGGCAAGACTTCTGTATGGCCAACATCCCTAGACAATTTGTGTACACAGACCTTTTGGTGATGTCCACAAACCATTAACAATGAGAAATTGACAAAACAGTCCCAGAAAATGACCATCAACTGTGGGAGTGACAGATGAACTGCCATGCCTTGAAGTTGGTTTTGACAGACCTGCCACCACCTGGCAAGACCAGTCAGTTTGGAATGGTTAACTAGCTGGATTACAAGATGCAAAGAAGACAGAAGGCTCATAAGAACCATACCTTGAGAAATCAACACAACACACTACAAATGTTATCACTGCAGTCAGTCACTGAAATACAGAAAGCTATCTGTGAGGGAACAAAATTACTGACTAAAATGGACAATGGAGTTTACCTGAATACATGAGAAGGAAGCTCAGCTGTGGACAGTGTTAAGAACTGCATCAATAAGCTGAAGATGTCAAGAGTTCACTAAGCAAAATTCATAATAAGTGATACAGAAAGACTTGAGTAAAATAATCAGACAGTGGATTGCTCAATGGAAATTGCTGTGAATATTCCCTATTACAAGTCAGTTGTCACACTAACTCTGAAACAAAGAAGATAGGTGGAAACAACTGATGTCCAGAATACCTCTGTGTGTCAGAAAAACAGCAGGGTAGAACAGTGGAAGTAATGATTTCCTATGGATAACTAGAGCAATTTTCTCTGCTGAGATCAGAAGGAACTGTAGAAGTCCACATCTGCGAAGTCTATAGATAGAAAATAGACTCTGGGCTCAAATACACATTACAGTTTCTCCTATGTTTACTTTAAATTATATTCCTTTCTTTGCAAATCTAGCTGCCCAGGATTTCTTTATCAAAGACAGGAATGGGATGAGGAAAACTTTAATGCTCCTCTGTTGTTTTATTGCTGGAAAAACACTACTGAGATGCTTTGACCCCTGCTGAGGAAAAAATGACAGTAGAGAAAGTGTTAAAGATGTCTTTTCCCCTCATACCATTTTCCTCCTTGAAAAAGCAACTGCATTGTCATGCTCTGCTGGCCAGGGGCTGAAGGGAGGGGGGTCTTGCATTCCAGCTTCTCCTCTTCTAGAGCACCTGTGAGCAATGCCTCATCAATGGAGAGGAGTATTCCCTCACCATGGTTCCCTCTCTTTCCAGCCTCTGCCTGCCATTTGGCTCTGAGGGCAAGACCTGGCCTCCGTCATGCATAGCTATCTCCAGGCAAGCCTGATACAGGAGTACCTGGGGCGGGACTTCTCTGGGCTCAATGCACCCCAAACCCACTTAGCGACTGGCCTCCTGGCCAATGGGCTGTTGTCCCTCTGCCCTCTCCAGCCTGCCATTTTCCCTCCATGTCTTTAAAAGCCTCTCCTAACCCCTCTTCTTCCTCAGGGCTAAGACCCATCTCATATTTCCCAGGGCTGTTTTTGGCCTGCTGGTAGGGTTGCTAGACCTCCAGTCTGGGTGGGGTGGGGGTTCCCCCAATTTTTTGGGCTTCTGCCTGCCACCAGACAGCTGGCCAGTGGGGGAAGCCCTATCTCCAAACCGGGACATCGCGCAGTGACTCTCTGCTTTTGGGGCAAAACTCTATGGTTTTAGGCCAAAAAACCCATAGAATTTTGCCCAAAATGCAGAGCATCACTGCACAACATCCCCAACATGATGATGTCACTTCCGTGTGACATAATCACTTTGAAGACATTACATGACATCCCCATCCACCCCTGGAATGCCCCCCAAAGCCCCCTGCCAGCAAGCTGAGGGGACCTGGCAACCCTACTTGCTGGGCCTCCCATGTGCTCCAGGAGCCCTCAGAGGTTGTCCTTCCTTCTCCCAGTCTCCCACCCCTTTCTAGCTGCCTCCTGCTGGTGTCATCTCATCATCCCCACCCTGCTCATTTGATGGCAGCCACGGACAGTCCCCTGCCTGGGCCAGCTAGATGGCATCATGGCAGGGTTGCTGGGCTCCTCAGAAGAAGGTAAGTGTGGAGTGGGGGGGGGGGGGGGGGGGGGGGCTCCATCCCCAGATACCCAAACAGCTACATTTGCAGAAGAAAGTTGAGTCTTTTGAAGTTGAGAGGTGGAAGAATATCAGTCAAAGAACTAATCCGGAGTCTTTTCGGTTTCATAAAGATGAGAGTGAACTGTAGATCTCTGTCATAATTTAAATACCATAAAATAGCAGGTACAGAATCCTAGATTATGTTGGGAATCAGGGATATGGGTCTATAGCATGTTTGTGAAGGTGTGTTGGAATTTTTTGTTGGGAGTACTGAAGATAGCAGTGGCACAAAAATGCAGAAGGGGTAGTCTTTGTTAAATCTAATGACACAGTTGACACTTTCTGTGTGGGGGGGAGGTGAATGCTGAAGATTTATGTTTCATTCTAGAAAACCCTGGCTTGGAATAATGTGGACCATAATAGAGAGGAATGCAGTCTCTTAGTGAGAAAACAAAAGATTTGCAACAGGATTCCAAAAGACCAGCCTTTTCTGGAGCCTTTTTATAGTATAATTAATTCTAAGCACTAAAGAGTCCTTCCCTGTTGAAAGGGAAGTCTCTGTGCTAGAACTACTTTCTGGGAGTAGGGAAGTGGACTGGAGACAGGCATGCTTGCAGAGAGAACTGATCTAACCTTGGCCTTAGAACCCCAGTTGCCATTATGGCCTGCCTAATGATCTGTTGTTCTATTAGATGGATCGTCCCTACCAGGAACATTCTAGTGAACATCTTCTCGTCTTCCTGCAGGAGTTCAAGAAGGGAGATGCATGCTCCTATATACACACAAAGCAATTCTGAGCCACACAGGCTTTGTAATTCGAGTTCTCATATGAATAAGGCAGCAGTAAAATAGTATTCTCCCCATAATATCAAGTTTTCAAACTTCCTTTTTTTGTCAAGGTTTTATGGGGGGGGGGGTCTTTCAACCTTTTTTCTTGAAATGTGTCAACTGACAACTGGTGTGTTACCATTACAAGAATCTTCTTAGGGGGAGGAGCAATAAGTTTGGCTAGAGCTCTAGAATATTCCTACTGTTGGCTTTGTACAGTGGCATACACAATATGTGGGACTAAACAGCGACAGCAAAGAAGATAATCCATCAGCTCTTGATAGGTCTGCAACCATGGAAACAAGAAAGCACTATCATTTAGCCCTTTTTGGCTGCAAATAGAGAGGTTGTTCTGCCTTATCTCCATACCTGGAACACTGAAATAACACACAGACCAAAAAAAGGAAATTTCTGAAAGACTTTCATGAAGTTGTAAGCCACTAACTGGAACACTGGGAAGTTTTTAACATAACTAACTGGCCCGTTGCTCTTTTACCTTCAATTTTCTTCTTGCATTGAATTTCCTCAGCTGCTCCACAGTTTCTGGAAGGTGAATCTTGTATGCATAGCGATCACGTTCCTTCCAATAAATAACAGAAATCTTAAATTTCTTTTGTAACTTATGAAATTAAATTATTAGCTAAAACATATTTAAAATTAAAATTAGAAACCTAAAAAGCAACTTATTTTTTAATATTGGTAATGGATAGGAGTATGCACATCAAAAAGATCTGGATTAACTTCAAATATGGATTTGGAGAGGATGTGTTTTCATTATCCTGAACTTCTGGGATTTTTTACCTCCAGGTATTTTTTGGGCCTTGAAAATTCAGGACCATTTGAGCAACTGCTGTCCTCATTCTCCCTCCCAGGCAGCAAGAGTGGGGGGGGGGGAGAAGGTGGTCTCACCAAACAGCTGTTTGGCAGCATCCCCTTCTCTTTCCCGTATTTTCTAGATCAGAGGTCACTGCGTCTTACCCCATGTACGCTGCGTCTTACCCCATGTAAAATAATGGCTCTTTAAAATTTAAAGCTCACAGGAAGAAAGTTGATTCATTTGAAATGTGATATTGGAGGAAAGTTTTACAGATACCATGGACCACCAAAAAAACAAACAAGTGGGTTCTAGATCAACTCAAGCCTTAACACTCCTTAGAAGCTAAACTGAGGTTATTATAATTTGGTTACATTATGAGAAGATAAGACTCACTGGAAAAAACAATAATGCTGTAAGTCAGAAGCGACTTGATGACACTTAAACACACACAAAATTTAAAGGGAGAGCAATACTGCCAAACAGCTGTTTGACAGACCAGCTTCCTTGCTTTCCCTCCTGGTTGTTGTCACCTGAAAAACTCCCAAAATTCAGGGAGATACATTATTTGCTATGCCCAGAATTTTGGGGTGTACTGAGTCATTTCTGAAATCTGAGTTTATCCAAAACAGCTAATTTCCAGTTTATTTTCAGCTTAGGTGTGTGTATCCAAGTACACATTGCTACTAATAATTCTTTAGGAGACATGAAGAAAATGCATGTAACTGGATAGACAATTTATTAATAGTTTTGTGAACTTCTGAAAATAATTAGGAAAAAAAATCCCAAAGCCTCCTTGAAAGCTGTGCACAGAAAAAAGGATATTTTAAAAATGAATTCTCCCCTCCCCTCCTCTGAATCACAGTCAGAAGTACACTTGCATTACAACAGAGTGCATGTATAGCTACTCTGCTCTCAAAATAACAGCCAGCAAATCTCTTTGTACCTTATTTGCCAAGCCCTTCCTCAATTATACAGTAACTAGGGAGCAAAGCCCATTGTGGACGGAGACAATGGGCACCTAGAAAGGTAGGGTGGGTGGGT